TATGGTGTTCTTGGGTCGATCCCCAACAGGTACGATCTTCATCCAGACATTCGTTTGCTCTAATTCCAGCTGGAGATTGTGCTTGATCCAGAGCGCCTTTCAGCTACTACGCGATGGAACTGGACGGTAAACTCTTTATGACAATCTTGAATGAGAGTTTTCCTTTCTTTCTTCCAGGAAATAGGATCGAGCGGCTGCCACAGTCAGTGAAAACGCTGGTGGTTGCGGAGGACCAAATCTCTGAAGTTGAGTACTTGTTTCCCCATTTTTCCTCCTCAAAACTCGTTTTTTTTTCTTGAGGCTCCTTCACTTACTAACAAACTCGATTCGATCGTTCCACCAGCGAGACAGCAACCAAGAGCATTGTCTTGATTCAGACTGGCAGTTTTTGTAAGTACCACTTCCCTCCCAATTCTTCATGGTTGCTAACGTAAAAGAGAGCTCTTCTCCTTTTTGCAGGAAGCGGCGGCTCATAGCAACGATCGATGGTCACGGGAGAATTTCATGTCCAAGTACGTACTTTGCAGTTCGTTGCAAAGAGTTCCTGCTCTTGGTGTTTCTGATTGCTTTCCTCAGATTCAGCAAGCTCAAGGAGTGGCTGCAGGAACTTGGAGCCGACTGCAAGGGGTGCTTTGCACGGTATTATAGCATGAGAAGCGATTACGTACTTTGTTCTGCTAAATCTGAGGAGGAGTTGGATCGGATATTTTCGGGCGTCCCAGGAAGGAGCTCGAGGTCAGGAGGATCATTCTGTAACTTGTTCTGGCGGATGGAGCTGCTCGAGGTCAGGAGCATGGCAGTTGTGCCAATTATGCTAGCCATCTCGATGATGAGCAAGTCACTTTTCTGTCGGAAAACTCTAGACTGGACGTGTGCTTACTCAGAGATTATACAAGAGGATGGTACGTTTGCAACAAGAGAAGCAAGCTTCTAATGCTCAAGCGGTGCCCAAGCGGCAGCAGCTGCATATTGCTTTTTTTTTTTCCCTTCGGATTGGTGGTGTAAAGCAAGAACACACTTTCTCTAAAGCTAAAAGACCACTTAAAGCGTGGCTTTTGAAGGGTAGAAAAGGCATAATAAGATTCGACTGTTGAATTAAATTGAATAGTATTCCATCAACAAAGCAAAGTCACATTATAATGGTGTTAACAAAAACGTCCATCCGGGACTAAAACACGTCAGTATCTCGGACTCCCTATCAGCATCTACCGGAGTCCACGTCACTATATCGGACTTCTAAGGAGTTCGACGAACTGTGTCCGGTGCTTATACTCCTCTTCATCTACGTCTTCGAGCCTCGTTCTTTCCAGGAAAAAATGGCGACCGAGAGCGTCTTCCAGTAGCTCCGCAAGTTCTTCGCGATACGAGAGATAGTCTTTGAGCTTGCAGATGAAATCGCCGTGGGATCGGCCCTGTGCGAGATTTACATACAGCTCAAGCTCATAGAACGAAGTAACGAAAACTCGCTCACCAGTCGATACGCTGGAGCGCGGCGCGGAATAGTCAAGTAAGCCATTCGTGGCGGGCTATAGTCCCAGAGGAAGGAAGTGTGGTGGAGCCAGCGATCTTTGGAGATGGACTCGGCATTTCCAGCGATCTTCGTCTGCCCGAACGCATAGTCTGTCCAGCACTCACGAAGAACAGTCGCCAAAGAAACTCTTTTATCTCTCCGGTACCTTGCTCGTGAACTGTGAAGTCTGGATTGTCCCAAAAAACGTTCTTGTACAGCTCCCCGGTCCATTTCAGTATAGTCCTGGGGAAGAGTTCCAGCGATGGAATCGCCTTTCGCGAGCAAATGAGCGTGACAAAGAGCGTATCTTCGTCCACAATCACAGTCCCGCCGCCGGAGAAGCGTCGCACGACAGGGATTCCATCCCGGGACACGGCGTCCACATCCAGAAGCTCTTCCGGGCTCCTGGGGCACGGATCCATCAACAAAGACGCGCGCATTTGGGGAGAATCTCTTCTTACCCGCTCACTCCCATGACGATCGTGGGAGGCGATGTCCCATTGTTGAAGATGCACCAATTCTCATCGGTCTTGTGCATCAATCGCTCCTCGAGCTGGAGCTGCCGGAAGATGGGGAATCCCTGGAGCCGTAGCACTCGCATTGCGGGCCTCATCGCCGCCATCCAGGAGCCCTAAAAAGTCGCTCTTTCTAGTCCCCGTAGAGACACGTGGCAAGATGCGCATTTGTCACGCAAGCCCTAATCCTTTATTTTAAAATTTTTGAATCTCTACTTTGAAGCCGCGTAGGCCTCTGGAACTGGCCCCGTCTTGCCAGTGATTCCTTGCTTGAGATTCTTAAAGTTTTCTTCGTAGTTTCTCTCGGCAGGAGGATTGCTGGGATCGATGGAGAAGGGTTCACTGAAAGGAACTGTGCTCTTCACCTGTTAGAGAGAAACGCAAAAGAAAAGCCATGAATCGGGAAGGGGAAAACGAAGAGAAACTCTACCTCGAATGTCACATTGCAAGCTGCGGGAGATTCCAGAGCAGCCACGCAAATTCGTGCAACTTCTTCTCGCGAAATCTTTCCCTGTGCAATGACAATCAAAGAAATGTGAGAAACAGCTCCAAATGAGATACTGAAACTGCTCATACTGTGATGTTGTCTCCCTGATCAAACTGTAGCTCTGCTCCTGCTGGCTCTTCTGTAAGCGCACAGGGTCTGACGATCGTGAAAGGCACCCCACTCTCTCGTATAAGATCCTCTCCCTGAGAGACGACTTCATAAGCTCGAGCTTTGAGCCAAAGTACTCCCGTGCAAGTTTACCTTGAGTTTGTAAGTGAGTATGTCTCCAAGCTCTTTATTGAGCCGGACTGCTGGTGGCTGCTTACTTAGATCCAATCCTGGTCTGTCCGGTCTCGTAACCCCAGCAGAACTTACGTGAACAAACCTGCACGAAGAGAACTATTCAAAAGCTTATAACGAAACTCGGGACTATACCTCGGTGTAACAGGCTCATTGAGATAAGCTTTGATGCTTGCGATTGGAATCGCAAACGAACCTGGTTCAAAGGTTGGATTAAGCCTGCCATCGTACTCGAACTTGCTGTACATGAGCTACAAAGAGAGGCAAAACGGAGCTGGAAGTCGAGAAAAATGCCTACATGAACATACCTGTAGCGAAGCGATGCTCGAGACGTCAAACGGTGGAGCGTCTTGCACAGTTCGTGCTCGAAAAACTGGCACGAAGCTTGAAAATGGGACCCGAACCTACGAGAGTGGTTTCCAGCTTCCACGCAAAAGGTAAGAAACATGACGGTTACCTGTGTCCAAGAGTTCTTCTGTGTGTCAAAGCTCGCAGTGTATCCGGTTCCGTCCCAATCTTTGGAAACGCGGACAATCAGCTTCAATCTTTGGCCGTTTCCTTTGAGCCGGAGCTCCAGGCCGTCGTACGCGGACAAGTCCAGCACTGGATCAAAGTTCTGTCAAGCCATACATGAGATCTAATGCTCTTAGCCGGAGTGACTACTACACCTTTGTTCTTATGCTCGCAAAGCCTCCATTGTTTGCAGTCGAGACAACTCCTATACAGCACAAGAGCGAAGTTGTTACACAGTTTCTTCTGGGAAGTTGAAAATACCTCTGAAGATCCCAACTGGCTCATCTCCCTCTCGGCCAACTTGCAGAAAACTTTCGCTCACACCTCCCATAACAACATCGTCCAAAGATCCCCACGCGGGCCCGAAAGGAATGCCATTCTCTACGACCAAGACGGGACATAATTGTGCAAGAATAAACAATATCACTCTCTTACCATAGAAGCCAATCAAAAGCCTTCCTTGAAGCAGTCCAACATGATCTTTTACAGCATCAATCAAGTTTTTCATTCCCTGGTATTCCACTGCTTCTGGTGGATCGCCTTTAATCTGGAATATCAAAGTAAGAATAGGAAAACAAACAAAAAAACTGACTACTCACCTCTGGCATAAAAAACTTTATGCCCTGCAAAGTGTATCAATAAAAAATGAGAAATTGAATTGATCGAGCTAGAAGCAATGGTCTCTTATTACCTGAGAGTACTTTTGCCTATCCGGTGTATCTCCCTCCTTGGGTCCTACAATAACCGAGGCCGCGCTTATCACTTTCTTCACTCCATGAAAGTAGTGAGGTTGCAGTGTAGCTTTCTTCGTTACATCTCCAGTCACCTGAGATCTTGCCAGACGAAAGTAGATTACCACCAGTTTTCAATGATCTATAGCTATACTCACAATATCTGTGTCTGGTCCCAGTAAAGTTCTAGCCTTCTCGGTATTCCTGACCTGCATGTCAAAACGATAAGACACAGAGTTGGAATGCGAGAATTCCATTACCAGGACACGAACAGGAATGCCTTTTTTTCTCAGGACATCCACCACTCTCTTCCCAACGCCTCCAGTTGCACCGGTGACAAGAACTAAATCTCCGGTCTTTGCTTTGCTGTCTGCCATTGGCACTGCTTCTCGAGACTTCGTAAACCTTTCCGTGATGGATTGCACCAGCTGAAAGACACTGTTAGTTTAGATACGAAACCGGATTACGTTGAAGCAAACCTTTGGGAAAGACGGCTCGTTGAAAAAGAAGACAGTCTTCAGAAATCGTCCAAAATCCCAGGAAGCAACAGCTGCTGCCTGAGATGGGGAGTTACAAGCAAGCTTGGTTCGTCCCGGATGGCTTGTAAAACTTCCGCAAGCTCCCTGAAAGCAAGGAAAACTAGATAAGAAGCTGCTTGCATTGTCAGTCCAGACAACGTAAGGTACTCACCAAAAACCCAGAGCGCAAGCAAGGCCTTGAGGTGTTCTTCGCACTGTCCACTGCCGAGAGCAACTGTGGATAGTTTACCGCCCCGGCTGCTATCGCCATCCCTCCGCTACGAAGACGCTGGAAACCTCATAGGCTGCCAAGAAAACGAAAAAAAAAAAATCGTCGTCCACGCGTCCACCAAAAAAGCTCGTAGCGAAGTGTCAAAATTCCGGCAGAGATCCCGACTGCGATGGTTCCACCAAAGAGTTCTTTCCTCCATCTTGCGAGAAAAGCTCACAAGTTCGTCATAGTGCCCGATAGAAGAACGTAAGAAGACGATGTCTCTGGAGACAAACTTTCGGCTAGACGCGCTGCTCGCTCGGAGTCACCATAGTTTCTACAAGCACCGAGCAAGGCGGTCCACATCACGAACTCGGGCTCGTAAGGCATGGATCTCAGCAGCTCCTCAGCCTCGCCGAGCTTTCCCAGTCTAGCAAAGAGATCGGCCATGCATCCAAAGTGCTGGGACACTGGAGAGATCTCGTACTCGCGGACCATGGCCTGGAAGTGCTCGCGTCCTTGCTCCAGGACTCCTCCATGGCAGCAAGCGTACAGAACTCCCGTGAAAGATATCTCGTTCGGCTGCGTGCCGTCTAAAGTCATCTCCCACAGAAAGTCCACTGCCTCGCTCCGGAGGCCGCTCTGGGCGTAGGAAAGGAGCATCGTGTTCCATAAAACGATGTCTCTTCTCAGCTTCACGAGCCTGTCGAAAACTTCTCTCGCCATCGCCAAGCTTCCACACTTGCCATACATGTTGACGAGGCTGGCGGCGGCGTCGCCTTCGAGCTTGATCTTGGAAGCGATCATGTCGGCATGGAGCTGCTTCCCAACGTCCAAGTCATTCGAGCTCGAGCACGCGTTCAAAGCACTGACGAAGACAATCGCGTCCAGCTTCAAACCAGAGCCTGCCGGAGTTCTCATCTTCTGATAAGTTTCGAGAGCTTTCGAGTGAAAGCCGTGATCGACATAAGCACTCAGCATCGCCGTCCAGCAGATGAGATTCTTTTCTCGAATCCTTTCAAAAACATCCTCGGCCTCCTGGACGAGGCCGAACTTCCCATAGATCGTCACCAGCGCGGTCCCGACTACCACATCAGTCTCAAACCCGAGCAAAACTATCTTCTCGTGTAGCTTCTTCGCTTGATCCACGGACCAGCAGGCACCTAAAACGTTGACAAACGTGACCTCGTCCGGCTCGACGTCCATTACCTTGTAAGTTTCCATCGCTTCCACGGCATGCCCGTTCTGGGCATAAGCCGCTATCATAGAGTTCCAAGTCACAGCGTTCTTCCTTGTCATCCTGTCGAAAAGCTCTCTTGCTGGGCGGACGCCACCACTCCGGCCATAGAGGTTGATCACCGAGGTTGCGATGACAACGTTGGATTCATGCCCGGCAGCGTAGACCAGCTTGTACACGAAAGCCACCGATTTAACGCTGGAGCAGGCACCCAGCACAGTGACAAAGCTCACAACATCCGGCTTGATCCCGTCGAAGAGCATCTCCTGGAAAACTTGCAAGCCTTGATTGAGCCGAGCGTTTTGGACGAGAGCCGCCACCATGATGTTGTACGAGTACACGTTCCTGCTGGAGAGCTGCTTGAAGACCGCGATCGCGTCGTCCAGGTAGCCACACTTGCCATACATTTGTATGAGCAAGTTGCTCAGGTAAGTGCTCTGGAAATGCTTGCTCGAGCTCATGATATGGCGGTGGACGAGCTTGCATTCTCCCAGCGAGCCACACTGCCGGACGAGCGAGGCGTAAGTACCGGAAGTTACTTCGCTACCTTGCGCCGTTAGCCGGCCCAGCGCTTGATCCAAGCTCGCAGAGAACGAGCTGCGGAGAAAAATCCGCCACAGCCATTGTGATCGTTTTGCCGATCGTCCAAAGCATTTCATCTCGCGAGCTACAAGCAAAGTAAAGAAAGAAGCGAAACTCCGTCCATCCTTGGGATTTGCAGCATGGTTTTGGTCGATTTTTCGCTTCCAGCGAAAGAAATTCAAAGAATGCGGTACGATCCTGCTCAAAGGCAAGTAAAATCTGTGATCCCTTCGCAATCTGCCCTTACCATTTGCCTGGGCGCTCAAGAAACATCCATTGCGTCCAAGAGCCCTAAAACCCGCCCTAGAAAGTCAGCGCTAGTCAAATAGTACGTGGAAGATCTCCCGCCAATAAAAGGATCGCGAGGATGAATGGTAGCCACTCGTTGCGAGATCCGTCCACTCCACGTGGCAGGCGGACTGGCCATGGGCCAGTCCCAGTGCGTACGGCATGCAGTAAAAATGGGCGCCACGTCGGACCAGTTTGTGTGGATACGAGCATGTGTTACCATGTTGCGATGGATGATGATGATACCACATCCATCCATGGAATGTGTCCCGGGCTTTTGCAATGTGGCGGCGATGGCGGTGTGCTCTTCGCGTTCCTAGGCGGTAGAGGCGGTAGAGGCGGTAGCGGCGCTGCGGCGGCGGCATAGCGCTCGAATGCGCCGGCCGCCTTTTTCTTGAGGGATTCCTCTGCAATCTGGGAAAATATTTTGCGCGAGGTGAGGGTTTCTCGATCGCCAAACAGTGTAGGAGCTCCTAAATCTCTCACATCGGTAGCAAGAATCTAGCTACTGTTCCTTTTGGACCTAGCGGCATCGCCCCCGATGGGGAAATAGGCCTAGAATGACAGATTTTGAGAGCAAAGGAGGCCATGAACACATTCGCGGTCGAGGATTTGAGGCACTGGACACGAAATCCACTTGGTCTTCTGTGAGTACCTTTAGAACAAAAACAATTACTTTCCTTCAGTGCCTCGGATTGAATGGGTTCTTCGTTTGTGACAGTTCGATGAAATAGCTTGGGATGACTTCGGTGGCGACGATCACAGCGTGCCAGAGCCTGACGAACGGGCGCCGTCATTGTGGCTGAGAAGAAAGAAAGACCCAAAGCTCTGGAAGGAGTTAAAAGAGGAAGAACAGACATCGAAAATGGATGCCGAGGCCACGACCATGGACGTGGATAGCTGGGACAGTCTCAACGTAGGGGAGCTTGGGGCCGTTCCAGACAATCTCACAGGCATTGGAAACCATTTGAAGGAGGAGTCACCGGATGCTTTGCCACTGCTGGATGGAGGCGTGGTGATGTGTCTTAACGAGTACAACGATGGCGACGCCGGGCACTTTGCTTTCTCGGCTGTTCCAAGCGAGGAGGAGATGACGCTGTTTGGCGGTGAAAGCGACGCTGGAAAAGGAAGTGCTCTACTAAGTTACGCATGGGAGAACCTCGAGGACATGGACAATCTATTTCAGTAAGAAACTTGACGCTTCTTAGGTTAGTGTGCATTAGTTTGGCATCGTCATGTTTCGTTCTAAACTTTTGTTTCTTTGCTTCACTTTTCTAACAGAAGCGAGGAAGCACCATTTTCTCAAGATGCCACCGATGCTTTGCTTCAGTGGCCCGCTTCATCTTCGTCTCCAGACTCCAACTCTCCGGTAACAAATGCCAAAGCGGCCTGTGCCAGCCCGGAGTTGAGAGCGATGAAGGGAAAGTCGCACGACCAGGACATGAAAATGGAGTTTATTCCGTGCGAGAGCTTTGACAAGAACTCGGACGCATGCGCAAGCATTGCCGATGGTGAAAGTGCAGCGACTGATCTTTCGACTGCCGAGCTAAAGTTTGCAGCTCACGAGGAGCAGCGAGGCGACATTGACAAGGTACCGGTAAAAATCTATTCACCTGAATTCTTCTTGTGCTGACCATTGTTTCGATATGCAAGACTCCAGCGGAGGATTCCATGGAGCCGCTCTTGTCCCCAAAAGGGAAACAACAGGTCTCTGACACAGACAAGGTGATTAATTTTTTTTTCATGGCACTGATTTTTCTGAAGTAACATGACTATGGCAGGCTCATCCAGGAAAGAGACAAGCATCCAATAGAAAACGCAGTGATGAGCGATCCAGAAAGCAAATTTACCCGAAGAGACCTGGCATCAGTTATGCGAAACAGCAACCTTCAACTCAATTTTCTTCGTCCCAGCCGTTGCAGCTAAAACCAACTGTAGCTTCAACTCTGCAGGTCTATCCTCATGTTACCGGACCGGCAGTGCTGGGAACCATGCATCACAGGCCGCAGTACATTGGCCCAGTCCACCATTCTTCTTATATGATTCAACCAGCGCAGTCACAGCATTCGCAAGCCGTTATGATGTGCTACGATCAAGCCGAGCAACAAAGGTTCGGCCAGGAAACAAGGCAGAAACTAGCGCCCCCGCCGCCGCCGTCGTTGTCCGGAACAAACATGACGCCTCAAGAGAAGATTGAGAAACTGCGGTGGAAACAAAAGATGCACAGATTAGCGTCGGAGCAGCACCAGCAGATGGCCAAGCAGTGTGGACTTTCCATGGATCCGTGCACGCCACAGCAAGGAGCTCGGAGCGAGACGCCTATAGATGCAGACGACAAGGCGAATGTGAAGTCGGAAGATGGCGATGGAGCGCGAGCTACAGTTGTGGACAGCGCAGTTGTCAGTCAGCTTCTCGGCATAATGTCTAAGGTTGGACACGCCGTAGCTTTGCTCCGGTTCTTACAAGTTTTGTTTGTCGCAGCTGGACGTAGGAACGAGGATTTGCATCCGGGATGCGCTCTATCGGCTTGCGAGAAGCGCCATAACTCGTCACACTTCTGATGGCCCGAGCAGCAGCGAAGGCTCCAATAACTCGGCGGGCGACAACTCTCTGAGTAGAGCTATCAGGTCGTTCTTTCCTGGTCTGCATTTTCTCGTGACTGAAAGCGAAAAGAACCAAATTTTCTCGTGCAGATATCCACTGCTGGAAACCGAGACCAATCCCATCGACCGGACAATCGCAAATCTCCTGTTCCACAAGCGCAGCAGCAGCAACAGTGCAAACAACAGCAACAGTAGCAACAACAGCACTGGCTCCGCGGTGAACATCCCGTGCCTCCAGGAAAATCAAGCTCCCTGGACCTGGCAGCAGCAGCAGCAGCAGCACCAACAACAGGAAGCTGGATTATCTCAGCAACAACAGCAGCAGCAAGAGCTTCCATCGTCCGAGCTCACAGCACCCGAGGAGAAATCCTTGCGCGATGATTGCTCGAGCGAGATCGCGGAGGAAGCGAGCGATGGCAGCAAAAAGGGTGCTAAGCCGGGTGGTGGCGTTGGCTACTTCCAGAGCGTCAAGAGCCATAGGAAGCGGGAGGCGAGCAGTAGCGAGTTTTTGTCGAACGAGGAAGGAGAGAGCCCGAGAATTGGGAGGGGGGCGTGTAGCAGCAGCAGCGATAGCTCTAGAGGCCATGGCAAAGCAGCGAAGACGGGGATTCAATAGCATATAGAGACGAAACGAGCCAATGTACACACACACCACGAGCAAAGGATCACATTTAAACTATAGATGCGCATAATTTCTTAGAATATGCCGGATATGCTCCTGAGTTTGAAAAAGATGCTTATAGGATTTTTAGGGATTTAGGGCTCTTGAGGGAGAGAGAGAGAGAGAGAGCCAGGCGGTGCCGCCCGTGTCAATCTTTCGGCGGGAGCAACGGGGAATGCAGCTACTTCGGAGGCGGCGGAGGTCGCCATGGCTCCGAAAACGCAAATGCAGGGCACGCTGTTCAAGTATGGGCCCAAGCCAGTCCAGGTATTGGGATTCTCTAGCTTGTTTTGGATTGAATCGCGCGGATTTTGCTGCGAGACAAGGTTGCCTTTCGGACTGGATCGTTCCAGCAGCAAGTGATTTTCATCGGGGGATTGACAGACGGCTTCTTTGCGACAGAGTAGCTTTCTAAATGCATTCGCTACTTTAACACAATGATTCTTCTGTTTCTTCCTTCGGCATTTCAGGTATCTACTTCCTCTTGCTAAAGCTCTCGAGAGTGAAAGGTGGTCGCTGGTCCAGTGCCTTTTATCGTCGTCGTATTCTGGCTATGGAACTTCTTCTTTGAAACAGGTGCTTAGATTCGTCTCCTTTGCTGCGAGTGAATGTTTATCTTCGGGTTTTTCGAGTCTCTAGGATGCACAGGAGCTGGAGCAGCTTATCAACTATTTAATCAACGAAGAAAATTCTCATGGTGTGGTGCTGCTTGGGCACAGCACGGGCTGTCAGGTTCTACTTACTGGAATTCTTTTGTCTATTGTTCCAACTTTGCGGTTAGTACAGGATATTGTTTATTACTTACGAGAGGGTGGGATTTGCATGAAAGCCGTCCGAGGAGCTATCCTTCAGGTAACACGACGCTGTGTATGTTTTTCGTGCTTCCATTTTTCTCTTTTATTCCGTAGGCTCCTGTAAGTGATAGAGAGTACAGAGCAACGTTGCCTGGGACAGCCGCAATGATCGACTTGGCTGATGAAATGATCAAGGAGGGAAGAGAATTGGATTTGATGCCCCGCGGGGCTGAACCAGCTGCTCCTATCACTGCTCATCGGTATGGAACTTTACAATGAGAACTTTTTGAGAAAACTTTCGAGTTTATATCTTGGTATAGTTTCCGCTCGCTTGCTGGATATATGGGAGACGATGACATGTTCAGCTCTGACCTCTCCGATGAGCAGCTTCGTGTTAGGCTTGAGCATATGTCAAAGCTTCCTTGCCAGGTGTGATGGATCTGCTCTAAAACATTTACGATTAATTTGCTTCATAGGTTATCTTTTCCATGGCCGATGAATACGTTCCGGACTACGTGAACAAGCACAACCTTGTCAAGCGGTAAGCATCAACATGTTTCCACGATGTAATACTTATTTCCCTTCTTTTCTGCAGGTTGTGCGCTGCCATGGGAGCCACAGCCGTTGAAATATGGGGCAATCACAGCCTCACCAACCGGATCCAAGAGGCTGTTCGTGCTGTCGTCGACTTTATAAAGAGAGAGAGCTCGAAAGACTGGGACGATCCATGGAAATGAAACAGTGTCTACAAGGTAAAGTTTGTTGGTTTCCTTTCTTCTTTAACAATGTCACTCACTTACAACAGGTCACCAAAACTGCGAGACTTGGCTCTAGCTAGTCTGAAGTGTCATCATCTCTGTCTATTCTATCTTCTTTCCACCTTATCCGGAGCTCCTCCTAGGCATCCTGGATCGTTTTCGCAGCATCCAAATCCTCATCCACTTTGTCAC